GGAACGGACGGGGGAGGGGGCGGGTACAGCTGGCTCTGCCTCTAGATAGGCAGAGCCAGCTGTCACTCACGCAGCTGGGCAGATCCCGTCGTCTAAGTCTGGATCCGCTCTGGCTGCGGCGTCTCAGTATACCGCGAGCTACAGCTCGCGGTATACTTAGCTTAGGGTAACGGGAGGACGCTAGTTTGTGTCCTCCCGTTACCCTAAGGAGAACTATGGGGAAAAACACTGACCCCATAGTTCTCCTTTTACTAAGTAAGGTTAGAAACTTCTAGATCAATATGATTATTAAGACTGGGATAGAACTTATGGAAATGTATATTTATTTTTAGTTTTTGACTATCGATCGATATCCTTTAAAATTGTGTGTACTCACTGGCCCACTTGTTGACTACAGGCTGACTGTTAGCTATAGTACCCTTCTGTGTGATTGACACTACTTTTTTTTTTCTAATAAATTATTAATGTGTGAATCAATGAAAAAAAAAATCATAGTTGCCCCATTAACCCATATGTGACTTCTGCTACTACACCGCTGTGCTAAACGCTTCACCTGGATGTGACAGACCCCAAGGTCTGACGTGGTGTGAAACGTAGTTGAAACAAATGTAAGTTCATGCTGATAGGTTATGCTGGTAGAGCAGCCCCCCTCTCAGCCCCCCATTAGGGAAGATATCCTTTGACTATGCTTAGTAGATTTTAGGCAGAGTACTCTGAATCTCTAATATTCCAAGTGATATAACATTTGCAGGCTTGTTTGCACACATTCTTATCTGCTGTAAAGAACGTTTTCATCCTGGATTCATCTTATGAATTTGCTTTTAGACAACGTCTCCAAATCCAGCAGTACTTTTTTATGTTAACCTATTCACATGCCATTATCATGTCATCTATAATATGTCAAGTGGTATCTATGACCATATACATCAAGAAACAGTGGTCATTGTAACAGTGATGATGTGAAAAGTGTCTCGGCTTCATTCTACCTCTGGTGATCATATTTCTCTCTTCTATTACATTTAAACTCCATTTTACACACCTCTGCACATCATGATATCTATTCCTTCACTTTTCGAAAATGACAGATTTCTGAATTACACAGTCACCATCTCCATAATATCATAATTCTGCTGGCATAATCTATCTACACAAGATATTGTTTCTACTCCATTCTGCTCTGCCCAATAGAATTGGTTATGCAGCTCCAATTGAAATGTCAGGACCAATTGCGGTCTAATTTTATCCTCCGAATCCGATCTGTCGACTTAAAGAAAATGGCAAACCTTAATAAAAAGCAGACAGAAAATCACCCACCTTTACAGATGCAGAACAAGGCTATATAAAAAAAATGTTCATATATATTATATAGTGGTGTACTGTATCTGTAAAGGTGGGTGGGTTTATATTTGCATGTGTGTGTATATACAGTATTTATATTTATCGTATTACAAACTTGTTTTTAATCACAATGCAATCACACATTTATGCTAGAGATGATATGACCAGGCATTTAGGATGGTCATTAATACAGTTGTTGAACGCTGAACAGAAATATCACTGAGAAATGGAAACGGGCTATTTCTTTTAGTAATAGAAACAGTACTGTAAATGGAACATCTTTTTCCTATAATGCTTTGTAACCGGTAAAAAAAAAAATCAATAGTGCTTTTTACGGTTATCTTCTTTTTTTTTTTTTTTTTTTTTTTTTTTTTTTTTTTTTTTTTTCACCACGCTTTTTTTTTTTTCTTCATATGTCAGACTACTCTGTATTTAAACATTCACTATAAAGTTTTAGTGACCAAGTCTGTTAAATTGCTCTATTGTATCTACTAAGAGAGCAAAGATAAAATGCACTTCTCTTTCCATTAGTCTCCATACGGTTTTGTCACTGAAACCATTTTCACAGTAGCCCCTATTCTACTTTTTGTTAGTGCTAATATTTTAAGCAAACTTTAATATATCTCTATTGTTGTACTTTAGCTCCCTCACAGATACAGGATTGGTTACTATTGATTACTTCTTTTTACTGTTTTGTGTTTTACCCCAAAAGGCACCTGATGCAATACTGCATGATTACTGTTAGGGTTAAACTGCATTACACAATTGGTAAGATTTTCCCTTTTGCACTGCCCCATCCCCAGCTTTCAGTACCTGAAACAAGTTAGACTGACAGCTCTGCACAATGCATTACACTCTAATTGCACTTTAGTGTTGGCACTGCCATTTTTTTTCTGAACATTGTGGGGAAGGTAAAGCGTAACTCCAGCTAATTTTTTTTTAGTTTTTGCATAAAGTGGGGAAGGTCAGAAACTCTATTTTACAGTTTATTTGGTTGTGTTTGTAGGATCTTAAGCAGGTAGAGGGAAAACTCTAATGCAACTGTGATCTCCCAACAGTGAATAAAAAATCTCAACAGGAGATAGAGAGCAGTATATCATATATGCAGGTTCTCATTCTTCCCTAATCTTACTAATTTATGACCGGGGTACCTTAACTTTATTACAGGACAGGAACTGAGTGTAAATCTACACAGTAGGGACACCAATGAGAGTAAAGGCTTGAGACAGTTTTGGATAGCGGGTGAAAGGCTCAGATACTAAAAATAAAGTTTTCGATTTTCTTTCGAGTTTTCTGCTAATGAATAATTTTAGGCAATTATGCTAGCATTGTTTAAATACATGTGATGTTTAAATGAAAACATAAATGGTCTAGTGGTTGACAGGACTTCCAATCCCATTTGTAATGTATGTAAGAGAATCCCACAAACACCTGTAAGCCTTTGTAAAGAACTGTCTGCATCCAAGTGCGTGCATCCGGACCTGCACAAATGTGCAGTTTCAGGTCTTCGTGTGGCCGGGTCATGTCCCAGGAATGTACAGGAGGCTGCACACCATTACAGGCTGCAGAAAAAAAATATTTTCTAATTGTTTCTTTGGGCCAGGATTAATCTCAAGACATTAAGATACAATGCACCACCCAGTTCTTGATATTGTTAATCCTTTTTTAGGACAAACCATGTGCACATCTCTGATGAGATCTGCCACCTCTGTCTTAGAGGTGGTGGGATTGTTTTGTTGATGCAATGAATTGGAGTGCCGATGACAATTGGCTTACAATTTGAATTGGATGTATGCATTATTGATATCAAAAAATAAGTTCAGTATGTACTTCCTGAAGTCTTTGCAGTATGACATCCTAATGAAAATCAGATAATCCCCACAGACAAATACAACAGTCAAAATACAAAGGGGATAACATTGAGAATACTTGACAGTCCTGGGTATTGGTAGGTTCTAACAGGATCCAGTTCAGTGCAACAGAAGATGGATCTGGGTTGGCTCTCTCAAAGTAAGGCAAATGGTTGGTCCTTGATGTTAATGCGCTTCCTCTTTTGACAAGGTGAGAGCTTCCTTTTGATGTTCAATGAGAGCTCTGGCTGTCTTGCGCATCTACTTTGTGTGGGCCCTCTAGGGGCTTTTCCTGAGGTGGCCCATACATCATTTAGGGAGGATGCGCAGGAGGGCTAAGCATTTTATGATCTTCTCCTCTGCCCCTCCCAAACTTAATTTCATATTAATAAACACATTTCTGTATTGTTACAGTTTAGCCTCAGATAAACTGTAGATTATTGTTCATTACGGCATTTGCTTCATGATGACACTTGAAGCAAAATGGAAATTTGACATGCTTCTGAATTATGGGTGACTCAGAAGGGTTAAGATGTATTTCTAGGCTTGTAAACCTAGACCCATCCAATTTTTAGTATGTTACATGAGAAAGCTATATATGCACTTACTCTCAAAGTACTTCCAGGTTCATAATTATGGTTATTGGGTTAGATATGTATTTTTGTATTTAATTCAGTCATATCCATAACAGACTTTCTAATTTTAGAATTTGGAGTGCTCATACCTCATTAACGTCACAGGCTGTGTTTGATAAATAGTGACGATGATGCAATACATTTGAAACAGTATCTACGATTCCATTGTGTGCTGGTGATTATCTGATTTTCATTTGGAGCTCCACATGGCACCATCCGGGTTATCACTACAAGCACCACCAACTTGCAAGGTCACAATGCTGTATGCAGTGCAGGTGACTAACAACACTACTGTATGACATCCTGTCATTTAGGAATCTGGTGCTGTCAAAAACTTTTATGCTGACATTTTATTTTTACATCAGGCTTTGTGAGATACACCAAGAAGCTTGTGTGGGTGTATCTACTGTATCACAAGCATGGGTTCCCAGGTGCCCAGATTACTAACCAAAAGTGTAGTAGACCGGTACTCTGCAGCACTATCTGGAGTAAAAAAATAAGGACTGGTCCTCCTCACCTACTGTGTTTGTATGTCAATGATGCTAGTCAGTGTTTATTACTTGTCTTGTCTAAATGATTGTACAGCGCTGCAGAATATGTTGGTGCTTTATAAATAATTGTAATTGTAATCGCCTGAGCCTCATCCAGGCTTAGCTGACATGTCATTGAGGCAGTATAACCAGGGTGAACTAGTTTTAGCTGAATTTCCTGTGCAGCTATTTCTAAAGTAATAGCTTTCTCTGTGTCTCTTTTTACAATCTATATGTCTCCTTCCTCTAGGTGTCCTTTACTGTTACATTCTCTGTCTGATAAAATTAGGAATTTAACAGAAGATGATGATGGTGAATACAAAATCCCTTCTTCTCATCCTGTACATTCACGTCCCTTGCCTCTTCACTGCCATAGTATAAAGCCTTTCTCTAGGTAAGACAGATTTTACCGTTTACACAGTGCTATCTTTCATATGTGAAGTTCACTTTTTGCTGCTATTCTTTTAGAAAAAAATATTACCTTTACAGAGATTACCATTATATTTGTCTCCAGATCTGGGTCCACATGACTACTGCGCTACCTGTGAAGCCTTGTTAGAGTTTTAAAATACGCCTGTCAAAAATGGGGTTAATTCCATCTGTGCAAATCATAATATAATGCATAAGCTAATTACCTTCAGTGAAAACCACATGTCAGAATGGTCAGCAGATCCAGGGTCCCACTCAATAGCGCAAGGGTCCCACTCCGCAGCTGCTGGCAGGGGCAGGCTTTTCTAATTAGGCTATTGCTGCTTTAGGAAGAAAATGAACTGTAAGATATTACACACCTTTTTGTTTGAATGTACCTGGAATATATTAAGCTGATTTTAAATGAAAATTCAGTTGGGCTTTAAAGAAGCAATCAGGAGGTGAAAGAAGTTGAGGCATTAATATGAGACATAATATATTGTTTTTGCTCTGTTAGAGTTAAAGAGGTTTGTAAAAGTTTACTTTAAATCATTGAATTATATTCATCCATCGCATCATGACCAGATTTCTGTAAGGCCTGGTTCACGATTGCCGTTCCGAAAGCATGCAGCGATTCACACGTTTTAATGCACGTTTACAGAAGTGCCGCGTACACGCCCCAAAAGCTGCTGGCAAGTCAAGCATTTTCACGCATGCAAATGCTCTCAAGTGCAGCAGCAAAAAAATCAATTGCATAAAATGAGTGCAGGAGCCTGTTTGACATGTGTATATGACCCTATTGAAATCAATGGGGCCGCACTGCAAACACGCACAAAGGTGTGTTCCCGGGATGCGCAGGCGAGAACCAGGCAAAAGTATTTGGTTCTACCACTATCTAATGGTTCACCGGCTGCTTTATGCTGATAAAGTTATTGAGGTCTGGTAGATAACAATTCTTGTATTACAGTTCATTTGTATTTCAGTGAAGGTCATCAACTAAACTGTAATATACGGTGTATTACATGAACACATCAAATCTTGTTGTACATCTTTTTTCCGTTGTCTGAACTAAAATTCTAAAAGGCTACCAACATTTGTGCTGTACATCGTTAAGGCCAGATATACACAGGCAGAGATATGTGTTTCCTGTAAAGTTCACTGAACCGTGACAACTGTTATGGACAAATTATTGTAGACTTCAGTAATAAGTACCTTCGAAGAGCCTAAGAATTAATGTTAGGCACTGACTAAAATCTATTTGAGGTAAATTAAATATTGGAGAGCATATTTATAAACATGCGAAGTTTGTCATCATTTTGGAACCATGTTTTACATTTATAAAGAAATTTCCTCCACTTTTATGTCAAGGTGGACTTAAAAAGTGAAGATTTGCTTTTGTTTATGGAGCATCTAGAAATGTTAATTTGTGCCTAAAAGAGTACTTTAAAAAAGTAACACTTTTGTCTTAATTCCTCTGGAAAAATAGCATTGTACATCCTAGAATGTGAGTGTACCTAGACACTTCTGTGCATACAGCTTAATATCTGCAGTCTGAAATCTAAGGCACTTCTGCCTCTGATTGCTGGTGTTGGTCCACTGTGCTTCATTAAGTCCAGGGTCAATACAGCCGTCTACCAGGAGATTTTGGATCACTTCATGAGTCTATCTCATTTATTAGTTTCATCTTTTAAGTTGCATTAGTGAAATAAATGAACTTTTGCACGATATTCTAATTATTCGAGTTTCACTTGTATACTTTGTCCACTGCCTGCCTTTTTTTTTTAAATTTTTTAGCACAGTGTCCATTTCAGTTCAGTTCCTTTTTAAAGTAGAATTGCTCTATATATGACGAGCTGGACATTGTAATATTCCTTGCATCCTCTTGTTTGTTTTGCCTTTTAATTGTGCTTGCCTTTTTATTGTATCAAAATAATACCAAGTTGGGTTTGTGTGGACAGGAGTTTGTACAATGGTTTAATTCTGTGATCATAAAAATTATGAATGGCATTGCACTCAACCTATGCTGGGTGTTTTGATGCTCAGAGTAAGCTTAAATGTTGTCTACTACATCCAACTTATTTGATGAGCCTATATAATTTATGGTATGAGTATATATTATTTGTTTTTCCTAATGGGAGCCTTGTAAGCACTTCTGCAGAAACGACGCCTGCAGTAATGTGTTCCAGGCATGACGAGAAGACATTACCAGCTTTTTTACAAAAACGTCCAGTTTTGCATGAATTCTAGTTTCTATTTTAGTTTTTTCCTGCAATTTGTTTTAATAAACTCCAGTTTAAACATCACATCATTTATGCTGCTTTCAAACTTTTAGTGCAACTTTTGCAGGTTTTAATAGTTTACCTTTGTAAAGAAGAATTAAATCCTCTTGTTTCTAGTGTTGTTGGCTCAGTATTAAGGTCTCTGCAAGCCAAACATAGACATTAGTGAACCCCAATATTTCAAAAGCTTTTGTTTCTTGTCTTTGCAAGTGTGTTTTGATCATTTTGAAAGGTTCGATGATCATATAACAATAAATATAGTTCCGTGATCTAGACCCCCATTGTTTATATATTTGGTGAGCTAAAAAGAAGCATTCAAAATTTGCTCGGCATATCAATACATTGGCCCCATTTAAATGTAATCTAGAACACGCTATTTAGTTTATAGATTTATGTGTTGTAGGTTAGCTGGTATACTAAAGATACTTCAGATTTAACCAGGGGATAGCATTTTCTTGTTTTGAAAATTGTCTCCAAGCATGTATCACTATTCTAACAAACTATTTTGCATAATGAATACATTGAATATGAGTATGTGATTTCACAATGCATGGCTTCGATCAGGATAAACCTTGTAAATGTATTTCCAATACACAACCACAAGTACACTTTCTAATTTTTTTTTTGATGAGCTGGTGTTTAGCTTTCAGAATCCCATTCCAGAATCAGTTTATCTGTCTGAAATGGAAAAATACCTTCTGTAGGAATAGATTAGGAAAAGTTTAAAACCATGGCAGTTTTGCTTTGTATATGTCTTTGTATATGGTAATATTTCTATTCAATAAAGATGCAACAGAAAGAGGGATGAAATCTCTAAAAGTAAGGGGATTACCCTTCTTGGCCATCAGTACAGGTGACCCTATTGTATGAAGTACCCTGCTTTGGTGACAACTTTCACTTTTGCCTTCTTTTCAGTCCTGCGAAACATAGAACGTATTTTTTTGTGATCAATTACTCCTGAAACATGTCAGCATGTCAGTTAATGTTGCTTAAGACCAAGTAAACTGTTTGGTCTTGAATGCTGAAGCTGAGAAGTTATTGTTGTCTTGTGTGGTTTTTCGCTAAGTTAGAAACTTAATTTGTTGTTTTTTTCTTTCATTTGCAGGTTGTGTGAAAATGGACAATGTTTAACAAATGGAACCCACGACACATCAGAGTTGAAAAAAATGAAGCCTCCAGATCTGAGTATGCATACCATTTACTGAAATCAAATGGCAGATATCTTTTCTAACTCATGCCTGAAATGCATGAATAAATATGCAGCCTGTTGTGAAAAAATCATGTCTTATATATGTAACCTGTGCTAAGCTAACCTTTTTGCTTTCATGATCATTTTTTTTGCTGGTATTACAGCCTGTATTTCGATCTGTACTGAATAATGTTGGTCTTAGAATGACTGATTTTAGTGCTGATAGTTAAAGATGACCATACAGGTTGCAATGTAACTGTAGAATCTCCTTCAGATTTACCAGAAACTGGTAGTGAGGGGCCCTACATTAAGAATTAATTTATTCCATTCCATACTTCTATCTGGTCAGGTAGGCCCTTGTACTGCATAATTGATGGTAGATCTAAAGGAGATTGTACAGTCAGATTTACCAACAACTGTGTAGTTATAGGCCCTACCTAAACAGTCTATTCACCATATATCCAATAAGGTCTGCTCTTAGGAGAGTGTATAATCTGATTTAATTGGAACATATGTAACTTTTTTGGCGAGCCTAAACCAAATCTGCAATTCGCTTATTTAGTGAATTGCGGGAAATATTGGGTACTACCCAGGTATGGAGGAGCATATGACTCACTCCACATGACAACGCTGGGCTAATTAAGTAGTGAAAGGTTCATTTATGTTGGTGTGTGTTAGATGTGTTCTTTCTCTACTCTCTTAGTAGTTAAAGACAAATGTTTTGTGGACACATTATATGCACATCACATGGCATACACATTTTTTTTTTAAAAAAGTGTATTCATCCAAGTTGTTGCCATGTTATTTTTATATATATTTTCTGAACACATATTTATCCTGATTGAACTAAGAGGTTGAAGCAGGAGTCTTCAAAGGCAATTTATGTGCGTTTACGGTTTACTTTTTGCTTTTCATTATCATTTTTTAATTTTTATTATTTATTTGTTCAATATGTACTTTAAAAGCTTGTATGTAAAGGTTCTCATGAGTTCACCTTGACTGCATATTCGGTGTAGCATCAGAAAACGCCTTTTGGAAAATAATCTTTCCAGTACTGAGCGAATAACAATAATAGGTTAAATGAACAGTGGCTACATTGTCTTTCTCTGCATTTTGGTATAAGCTGTGAGATAGTTTAAGAGAACCCTTATTAAGCAAAGTGCCCTGTGTGCAGTATGCCACAGCTGGTAAAGTTGCCTTCACTGAGTTTTTCAGCTTGCGTCTGATTTTAGAGTTTGGGCATATCCTTGTTATTCCACTTTGAAATGGTTCGGTCGATCCAGCACCAAAATCAGAGCCAAGAGTTTGGGGTTTTCTAGGGCTCTTCATGCAAAAACAGCAGTTTTAAGACATTGATGGGCTCAGGACCCAGTGAGGCCATAATGTAGTGTACTGTAAAATGAATGGGCTGTTAATATAATGTCATAGACAAAAAAATAGGACCTACCTGCACAGTTTTTCTCAAATCGGGGCAATGCCCAGAGTAAACACATCTGCACATTCTGGTGGACTAAAACACAGGTGTGTTGCTGTGCTCTATAAATGTTGTGTTGCATTAACATCCCTTTTAATGTTATGGTATGAACAAGCCACCAGTGCAAACATGTAGCAATCTACAGGTCCCTGTGGTTGCAACCACTTCCCGTGCATAAAATGTACGTAACACGTCATAGAACACGGTGCTTCACATAAAACCCTGAATTTTGAATATTAAAAGTCCTAGGCACAATATTATCCCTAACAGTGGACACCTTTTTTGCATCCTTCTTTTTCCAGACCCCGAGAAAATGTACCTTTTTGTTACATATTCAATTGTAGATACATTGGGTGAAAATAGGAAATAAGGTTTTGAGTCCTTTATGTGCCGTCAGCATACTTTAAGGTTGCATACAAGATACATTTACAGCCTGTATAATGTATACTTGCTACATCAAGAAGAGCAGCATTTAAAGCACTGTGGTAAAGGATTGAGGCCACTGTGTGAAGTGTTTGCCTCCTAGTAGGAAGCATAGAGCTATGCCTTATTTCATTTAATAACACATGGATTGGGTTGGAGCATAACCTTTAGGCTAAGCTGGTCTCTGACAGAGTCTCTGTGTTGCTACTTCTGTTCATCAGAAATGTTAGTGCAACTGTAGATCTGTTAAATGACTTGGGAAGTAGAATAAAAAATGTTTGTATATTTTGTTTTTTACAGTGGTCATTTTAACTAAGTTCATATTACTAGATCTCCCTTTACTTCCTGGAACTCTGGCACATGTGACAAGGGCATGTGACCACGCACATCATCTCATGGGAGGAAAGTGCCTTTACCTGAGATCTCATGAGATTACAGAAGAGGTTTCCCAGCGATACACTGCTGTTGTAACCTTCCCAGGATGCAACGCTTGGACACGTTAAATCATTTGTGCCAAAAGTGTACCAGGAAGTAGAGGAACTCTATTTCTAAGTAAATGAAAAACATGTTTGTTTAACTAATGAATGTAAGATTTTAAATCCACACGCAGAGCTGCATGCTGATGTGATTTTTAGTGAAAGGGGGTAAAGGTCCACTTTAAGAATAGAATTTCTTGCCATAGGTTTATTGAAGTGTCTACCTCACCCACTAGCGTAACGTCTACATTTTCCATAATTATGTCTATTTGTTACGATGTTTTCCTATCTTTTCTATGGTGACTTGTACACCATAGTTACATAGTATTTGAGGTTGAATAAAGACATTAGTCCATCAAGTCCAACCTATTAGGATCTCATTCTAGGAGTACCCGTACCCCTGTATATATAGATTTTTTTTACATTATTTAGCTTTCAGGCTGAACGAACAAAATCCCAACAGATTCCACATCCACTCTAAACAGCGTTGTCTGTGTAACTGTTAAGGGGACTTACTCTCTTTATTTGTCCGGTTACCTATTGTCATTGGGAGTGAAAGAGGAAAAATGTACAATTCTTCAACAGGAATAGAGGGTAGTCTTCCAATTGGGACTCTTGTTCTTGATAGAATTATCTAACAAATTGTTTTCTTTTGAGAGGGTTCCTCTCACTTCCTGTTCTATAGGATAGGAAGTTAAGGCAAATCTCCTCAATGACACACCAAAGATATGGTTTAACAATTTCCTACTCTGTCCAACAAAAAAAAAGATGTTTTGGCTTTAGATATACAGTTGTGCTATAAAGTTTGCATACCCTGGCAGACATCATTAAATTTTCACATTGATATTGAAAATATGACGGATCATGCCAAAAAACTGTTTTTTATTTAAGGATAGTGATCATATGAAGCCATTTATTGTCATAGTCGTTTGGCTTCTTTTTAATTCCTAATGATAACAGAAATCAAGCAAATGGTCCTGATCAAAAATTTACATAACCTGGAATGTTTGGCCCTGTTACAGACGCACAAGGTGACGCACACAGGTTAAAATGGCAGTTAAAGGTTAATTTCCCACATCTGTGGCTTTTTAAATTGCAAATAGTGTTTATACTGTGTATAAATAGTTAAGGAGTTTGTTAGCTCTCACATGGATGGACTGAGCAGGTTAGATACTGAGCCATGGGAAGCAGAAAAGAACTGTCAAAAGACCTGTGTAACAAGGTAATTGAACTTTATAAAGATGGAAAAGGATATAAAAAGATATCCAAAGCTCTGAAAATGTGTGTGAGCTCTAAATGCACACAGAATCTTGTGAAAATTGATGGCAAGATGTATGCTGCATGTTATCAGAAAATACTGGCAGACAATTTGCATTCTTCTGCACAAAAGCTGTACTTGGGATGCCCTTGGACTTTCCAGCACAACAGTGACCCTAAGCACATGGCCAAGTTGACCCTCCAGTGGTTACAGCAGAAAACAAGTGAAGGTTTTGGAGTGGCCATCATGGTCTCCTTACCTTCAAATCATCAAGCCACTCTGGAGACAACTCAAACGTGTGGTTCGTGAAGGACGACCAAAGACTTTGCATGACCTAGAGGCATTTTGCCAAGACACATGGGCAGCTATACCACCTGCAAGAATTTGGGGCCTCATAGACAACTATTACAAAAGACTGCACGCTGTCATTGATGCTAAAGGGGGCAATACACTGTATTAAGAACTAAGGGTATACAGACTTTTGAACAGTGGTCATTTCATTTTTTTTTATATGTTGCCGTGTTTTGTTTTATGATTTTACCATTCTGTTATGACCTACAGTTAAATATGAATCCCAAAAGAAATAAAAGAAAATGTGTTTTGCCTGCTCACTCATGTTTTCTTTAAAAATAGTACATAAATTACCAATTCTCCAAGGGTATGCAAACTTTTGAGCACAACAGTACTTTAAATTAAAAGCAAGCACACCACTGTGTATTGCTACCTAGTCAAACAGGTGTCTGAGTTTTCCATAGAGATAAATAGTTTATAGAGGAAAAACTGAGCAGTTTAGTAAGCTCTTATTTTATATTCAGTCTATTTGCACTTCACCCAGAGCTGCATTTTCGATGGCAAATAAGGTCTCTGTTAACATTTCCCTCTACTGTGCTGCCAACAAGTGTTCTTTACACATGCTGGGAATAATTACAAAATGGCTTCTCTGTAAGTGGTCAAATAGCTGACAGCACCAACATACTTCTATCTCTTCTAACTTCAGCATTTTATTAAACAGCTTTAGCTTCTGAAGCTCCGTTCCTTTTTTAACAGCTACTTTCTTTTCTTAGATTCTCTTGACTGCTGAATTAAAGAAATGCCTTTTTTTTTATTATTCTTATCACACCTGTACAATGTTCGCATGTGTCGAATCACTTAAAGCATTAAATCTGGCAACAGGTTTCCCGTTTCTTTGCTGGTAGATTCACGGAAAATTATATCCTCTTTTTCGTAAGCCACAACTGCAGCAATACAATGAGATTAGATAACATTACTCCAAGGACTCCTGACAGCTGAAAATAGGACTTGCTCCGCTTCTTAAGTGCTTTCTATCGCTTTAGTGCCTTTTGTGTTGGATTTTGCTGACTTGTTTTGTTTTCACCACTTCCTTTACTAGTGTGATAATGGTAACCGTGTTTGTTATGGCTGGGTGTCATGTAGCATCTTTCTGGCATATTCCTAGTACTGTTTTTTTGAACAGTCTTTGATTTATGTACATGTACTATTTTTGGTGCAAGTTGGATGATCCCCCTTGTACATCCTGTATGACATTATAGCAAATAACCAGTTTACCTTTTGCTTTTTATATCAGTAGAGGTCAGAGCAGACTAGGTAAAATTTTTCAAACTGCCAGATTTTCTTTAACGTTGACTGTCTCCTTGCATAATCATGCAGCAAGATATGAGCCAACATAGGACTTTTTTTTTTATGACAATGTCCTGATGCACAGCCTTGTAGCACTGTCCATATGTCAGTGTCCAGAGATGTTGTGGTCTCATAGTTCCTACATGTCAGATAAAATAAGTGTCTTGCAAATTGAATGGAAATTATGTTCTGTAGTGTTGTCCCTGTAAGGTGACAGAAAAAAATAAAACCGATGATTCTTCATCCAATAAAAATAAACTGCTTTCTTAGGTTCATACTTGCATGGCTTTTTCTCACATTCAGGCATGGGGGGAGTTTGTCTTATGGGAAATGGTATCTGTATTTGACATCTCGGGCTCCAGACAGTGTATTTCTTGTACTTGCTTATTGCTGTCATGGAATACAGTTTTTGATTTATAGCAGAAGTTACAGCATGAGATGTGCTTAATGTTGGTAATGAAGCTAAAAGATGCACAAATTCTATCCACACACAGGTGAAGAAGCTTTTGACAGCCTTCCTCCTTCACAACCCCCACCTCCACCACCACCTCCAGCACGTGCCTGCGTCACCGAGCATACAAAATCCTCCATGTCGGGAAGCAGACCGAATTCAGGCGTAGACCTGTTTCTTCCTTCAGTGGGTAAGATTGGTTGTGCAAACGAATAAATATATATATAAAAAGTCATCCACAAACAGATTAAATGGGAAAACTATTACCACTCTTTTCCATTTGATGTACTTTATTGATTCTTTTCCAGAATGTCAGATACCATCATGCATTAAATTGAAAAACATTAGGATTTGCATTAAATCTCCCTTCACTTTACAGGCACTTTCCACAAACTGACGTACTAAGAAGGTGCTTATTTCTGCACATTTGTGAATTTCTAATAGCTATTTAGGTAAAATGAGCAGATAATTGATTTGTCTGTGGGTCACATAAACATCATAAGAAACCACTAGAGCGGAACTAATTATAATCCATATTAGGAAGGTTTATAAAGACTTCAAATACATCCCAAACAGTTCCATGCAAAGTCTTATGGAGAATTAATGGATTCATGTTAGTGTTAGAAGTACTTGTAGTATGATGTGCACTTTGTGTATACAGTATGTACTAAAGATGAAGACAATGAGGCACTGTTTGTTTAGGAAGGATTCACACCTTTGTGTTGTGGTAATGTGCAGGCATGTGTGTGCATTGCCATTAATGGAAAATGGCACCCTAAAGCACATATACAGTAAAATGAAAAACAAAATACACCACAACACCAGATATCAATACTCTGTGCATTGCGGGGTGGTACCTTGTAAATAATAGTGTAGCTGCTTTGCAAATGTAAACAGAGTCCGGGTGGCTTTATGTTTAAAGGGCCATACTACCACCGATCTATCACATGCCAGTGGCAGCTAAAGGGTTAATGGAGACCCTAATGTCAGTTAAAACCCCTGACAGGGGTTCTAAAGCTTCACCACCCACACATTAACACTTGGTAAATGCACGTGCGCTGACTTTTTTGCAGCACTGTTGCATTTTGTAATGCATTGCACTGCATTGAGGTTCTTTTTTTTATCCACAACAGGAAACAAATTTGTTTTTGCTGGCCCTATCGCCCCCTGCAGCACGTTTAAATACTAAAAATGTAAATAATGCTATTTGGCCTCTCCTTTTTTTTTTGGAACTGCATTGAGCAGTGCATCCCAACGCAGGTGGTGTGAACAAGCCATTAAAGCGTATCTAACCCCAAAAGCAAAAATGTAATATATTGCACCTTACTAATTCTTAGAAATGGCTGGATCACCAGGTGAAAAAAAAGGCTTAAAAAGAAAACTAACACAGCCATCTAAGGATTGGTAAGCTGCAATATTTTAAATTTTTTAGGGATGATCTTTCTCTTCCTGCACCTATTAAGAGGAAAGCACAGTTGCGTAACTGATGGGCTCTAGCAAGCAAAATTATCCAGAACTTGCACAAAAACTGCATATCCTGTGACTGTGGAAGCAATAGAAAGCGGACTACAAACTGGCAGATTATTCATTTTCGGTTTTAAAAGATCTCAGTCTTGCACATCATTGACAGTCGTCGCAGAGATAATAGTAGTAGAGTAGCAGAGATAGTACAGTAAATGCTGATTTTAACCTTTTCGTTGCTGTCTGCCTTTCACAACTCGCCACAAAGCAGAGCACAACATCAATGCAATTTAACAGTATTTGCGGCCCCCTCAAATAATAGGCACTTTGCACGCTGCTGGAAGATACTTTTGATTAGTACTACAACTTGTTCAGAAAAAGTAAGAAAAGGATATGCATCAATGTTTGTCATAATAGTTTAAAAAAAAAATCAAATCATAGCATGACTGTTTCTGCATATTTTTAGTAAACCACTGAGTATTTTAGTTTGCAGCCTGAAATGTCTGAAGCTGCCCATACACAGAGCAGATTTCATCAAGAACTAGCTGAAGTTCGAGCAGTTGGTGGCCCTACTGGTACCCCTCTGCTTGACAAAGGTAATTTTTTAATGAGCCTTTTGTCGAAGCAGCCAGTCTGTAAATTTTCATCTGACAGTGACCTGCATCCAATCAGATCCAATCTGATTCAGCAGCTGCTGAATATAATAGCTGGCAGTGGCGCTTCATCCATCCACGTTTAGCGTGAATTAGGGAATCAATGAATCAAGAAATTCAAGGTGTGTTTGGCCAAACATTTACTTCAGGCCACAATACGTTTTTTCTTTCTGACCTAATTCTCAGCTGTCAAGTTCGCAGGGCTACATCTCTCAACATTGCTATGCAACTTCTGTGGAACTACAACCAATTGCAGCGCTGTCTTAAAAGCATACTCTCCCTTTCAGACCATGATCGCATTTCTAAGCCCCCCTCACTCTCTAATTGCCTCTCCTTTACCTGAATAACGGGGTGCTCCTCTCCACAGCATCTTGTATATTTTTCGTATGGTAGGGCTGTGCATGGTTGCAGAGCCGCTTGATCCATTCACAGATCCATTCACTAAATCTGTGAATGGAAGACTACATTCCTATCACAGCATGAGGGACTCCTAGATCTCAATCAAGCGCAAGTGCGGTGATGTCACCATACTTCTAGTGCAATGATTACTTAATCCACTTCCATAACTAACTGAAGGTCTGTACCTCCATACAGACTTTGGCCTGGAGGAACTGCCTGCAGAAGCATGTGCATCGCACCTGCATTGCACTGATCGCGGTTGCAATGACTTGCAGGCTCCAATGTCAAATAATTAATAAATGCACCATTTTTTCTCTTAACAATGTGTGTGCATTTACAAATATTTTCTACAAGGTGGACTATGCCTTTAACATCTGTAGGAGATTAACTGGGCATTGCGACCCATAGTACTAGAAGTCTAAACATTGTGCTCCTTCCTTGCTCATTTTTCAGGAAAATGTTCTCTGCAGCAGGTAGCACAGCATGTACAGACAAAAGATTTAAAGTACATTGTCATTTTGTAAAGTGCAGCTGGTTGCTTTCAGATCTTTCTCCCTCAGTGATAGTCAATTCCTGCTTGTTAGATGACATGAGCAAAAATACAGTGGTTTTACACAGCCAAAATTGTGGTTCTTTTATAGGATTTTTTTCCATTTAATCGTGAAGGCTGGTGTCCGTTCTGTGAGGGGCAGTGCCTTGGATTTTTACAACGTAAAGCAGTTTACCTCTTTTTTTATTTCAAAGTTACATTTATTCATTTCTATGACCCACAGCAAATTTTAGATGAGCTTGGATGAGTTTAAAATAAAGACATTCTGCATTTATCTGCACCTCTCCATTCCATTGTGGTGTGAGCAGGGCGCATAGAAAATTGTTTTCTGTGTGCCTTTGCAGAGACCCGTGTTCATCCAGTGAAAAAAAAACAAAAAGCGCCCATGGTGTGAATGAGTCCTTAATCACACACCACATTGCTTAAACACGAAACACAGGTATGAGTGTTCAATATAGTCCTGTCTATATTATTATTATTATTGTATTATTATTAGACAGGATTTAGATAGAACCAACAGTTTGTACAGCACTTTATGGAAGATGTTGATCTTTTAATGCTGTACCCCTTATAGGAGCTTCAATGAGATATGAGATTCTAGTTAACTACCATCTGGTATGTCTTTTTTTTAAATACAGAATGTAAAGAATATTGGGGGAGTGGGGGGTTCCGCTGCATGTTTATTTCTGTAATATATTATTTTGATCTCCATGGGTGAGCCTGGAGTGCAAAGTTATTATTATTTTTTTTTTATTTGTGATAGCGCTCTCATGATAACACACTTTCTGTCTTGATGACAATGGTCTCTAGAGCCAATAGTGGGGTGGATCCACAGAGCAGGCACATAGCAGTAAAAACTTGGCAGAGTGTCTAATCCTGCCATATTTTATCCCAAACTAAACAAATATGCATTTACATACATTTTACAATGACTATATGTATGTAGCTATCTTTGAGTCAATTCACAAATGCAAAACATTTGCTTATTTTTCTCACCACATTCTACTAGCTAATGTTAAAAGAAAACGGTTACATAAAGGTTTTATTGCACCAAATAGCTGAGTTTATTACATATAAGTTATGTCCTCAATTATTGTGTTTTTTTCTGTATATTAAACTCCATTCTCAACAATTATTATAAAGAATATCAGCTCTTTAATGGTAAGCTTGAAAAATCAAGTAATCATAATAATCATAATAAAACCTGCCTACGAATTTTTATTTCTGTCCATGCAGTTTTGAGATTTGGACAGCCCAGTCACTCAGTACAGCCCTATCTGCTAGAGCAGAAGATCTGATTTTTTTTTTCTAGGCAGCTAACTAATGCAAGTAGGTCCCTGCCCCCAGATTGTGATCAGATAGTGAATAAGAAAGTACAGACTGATGAGCACCTTTCTGCCCTTTTTGCTCTCTCCTTCTCTCAGCATGTCCTTTTGTTAGCGCATGATCACTGCATAACAGCTTATTGGCTGCTTGTGCAGCTTCTCCCTTCCCAGTCAAACTCTGCTGTACAGAGGACTTTAGGAGGCTGATACCAAACAGATGCAGGTACTTTAAACTTTTTGAATTTCAAGACAAATGCATTTAGTGATTTATTGATTAAAAAACTGCATTAATCTGTGTCTTCTATAGCTACTGGAGTGCAGCTTTAAAGCAGAACTCAAGCTAAAAATAGCCCATTTAATATTAAAAAAAACTTTTTTAATGGCACCTTCAATACGGAGCTATCCCCTGCAGTACTTATTTTTCACCACTGAAAGACCTCATTATGACAGCCAGCATCATTCAACTTTGTTTGAGGCCAGATCATCTTGGACCCACCCCAGCCGGTGACTGGATGGAGAAAGAGTGCAGTGATGAGCTTGCCTCTGTCACTACTCCTATGTTCCTTCCTTTTGTTAGCACCCAAATTGATTGGATTCTGTGCTGCTTCTTTTATACTCCACCCCCTCTTTGTCGGGACTGCTTGCATTAAATAAAACACATTTAATGTTGCAGTAATGATTTACAGAGCTGCATTATTTTATGTCTTTAATCCATATCTAGAGTTCAGCTTTAAGTAAAATGGGAGATGTTGAGGCTTTAAATATTTTAAAGTTCATTTTGTCTGGAAAAATAATTTACACCTAAGCAATATTCATTTTTATGAAAAGAAAATTATCTTGATAGCATAACGAATGTTAACTGCGGCAGCTTATTGAATTAATGCTTTTTTTTTCCTGGTACGGCTGTTCATTCTGTATTTTTTCAGAAGCTATGATAATATTATGAAGCAAGTACAACATATTTCTCATACTGATGTACATTTCAATCAATTTTTATTATTTGTTATTCATTGCTTATTTATAATAATATAATACAGAATGCAAATTATTGCGGAATCCCCCCCCCCAAAAAAAGTATTTTTTAGCAAGTCATGGCCCAGAATACTGCCTTCGAAGGTACTGTTGTGTGTTCCTGCTTTGCAGCGCTTGGAAGGAGTTAGGATGCTGCTAGCATTACAATATTTTTGGTGTTTGACAGAATAAGAATGCTTGTATGCTCTTGGCATGAATGTATTCTAATAAGAAAGCAATTTCCTGGCAAGTAATAGGCATCAGATTATTTTACTAGGAGGTTATGAATCTTTTTAATGCTCCACATTATAAAATTTGCTGGATATTTATTAGTTGATGCATAGTCCTTGTAGTACTTTAAAAAAAGTAGATTATATCTTCATTGGTTTTGAGATGTTAATGTTTTCAAATAAAGGTATTGCTTAGCATTTTAGTGACGCTAACTTTGACGGATGAGTTCTTAAGGGAAAAGTAAAGGTGATACCACTGCAGCTAACCGATTTTGTTTATCAGTTTTCTTGCAGTGGTTTGAAACTTGTGGTAAGCACCTCCTTATCTGTTTCTCTGCCTTTTTTAAACACCCTAAGTCTTAAAGTGTATTTGCAGCCAAATTGGGATATCCATGTTGCATTTGTTATATGTTGAGCATAACTTAACTTAAAAAAATTAAAATTGCTGCTCACCTTTTCAAGTGCTTTTTACTTATTTAAAATTAGGGATGCAACGATACTAGTATCGATATCGGTGCCGATACCGAGTATTTGGGCGAGTACTCGTACTCGCCCAAATGCTCTGATGCCTAGCCTTATACTTCCTGTATCAGGAAGTCATGCAGCGCGTCATTCCACGCTGCCCGGCTTCCTGATTGGCCGGGAAGCTGGCCAATCCAGAAGCCGGGTGCCATGTAATGACGTGCTGCCCAGCTTTCTGATTGGTCGAGAAGCCGGCTTCATGTTCCCTCATCATCTGATGACAAAGGAGAATGGAGCAGGCTTCCCGGCCAATCAGAAAGCCTGGCGCCGCGTCATTACACGGCGCCCGGCTTCCATGACTGAGAAGCATAGTGACGAGAAGCATGGGACGTCTTCCTTGTTAATCGGGAAGCCGGGTGGCGAGTCTTTACACGCTTCCCGGCTAATCAAAAAGCCAGGTGGCGAGTCATTACACGCCGCCTGGCTTCCTGAATGGGACTTACGGTACTCGGTATTTGGTATCGGCGAGTACAGAAAAAAAATATCGGTACTCGGTACCAAAATACCGGTATCGGTGCATCCCTATTTAAAATATATTTCCACTTTTGCAGTAAAATTTCAGAAAACCCCTCTGTTTGTGTTCCTATTCACACAACATACCGAGAAATAACTTCTTAAAAAATTCTTACCTCTTTAGATATTTTGTTGCTGCAGGCAGATTTTTCTCAGCACCTTCACAATGATGTCTCCTCATAGAAAGACTTAAATTTGAGGATTGTGTTTCTCTCATTAACATACAATGCAGAAGCTCCTCACAGCCCTTCCTAAACATTACAAAAAAGAGAAGCAAGTAGAAATTGTTACCTTTTAAGAAGACAAAAACGAAGCCAAGTAAAAGCAATTTAAATGGCAAGAAGCATTTTTAAAATGTTTTTTAGCTTATGCTATGTGAATGGGAACATATTACAAACATAAAATAGATGTTATCCCAATTTGGCTACAAAAGTGGAAATACACTTTAAAAGATCTACCTAGCCTCCCCCTGTGTAAATGTGAAGGGGAGGCTGATGTTAACCCTGTCAGTGCTGTGCTGACAGATTTTATTATCAGTTGTAAACTAGATTTGAACACTGTGCTAACAAAGGGTTAAAGCCTTCGAGGCATTTTGTTAATTAGAGGAAGCTCAGTCTGACACTATAGTGTCACTCTCAAACTGCTCAGAGTAGCCTGAAATCTGCACAAATGCAAATGTATTTTTTGGTATGCTGTGTAAGTGGGAACATATAACAACATATAGAGGGGTTTTCTCAAATTTGACTTCAATGTACCGTAATTTGCGCTCCATAAGGCGCACCGGACCATAGGACGCAGGCAGGTTCTGTGACAGGTTCTGTGACAGAAGCTGCAGTTAGTGACTGCTGAGACAGGTGCCACGGTCTGAGTGATCACACAGAGCAGATGAACGGACGCACTTCGTCTGCTCTAGGGGCTCTATGGTGAGCTCCTATCCCGTGACCTCCTCCAGAGGAGCGGGGGACCTTGAAAACCGCAGTGGGGGGGGGGCCGGACTCGCCGCCACCCGGTTTTAATACAAGTGATCTGAATAGATCACTTGTATTAAACGAGCAGCGGCTCCCACTGTACATTTAGCTAAATGTACAAAAAAACTACTCGCCCAGCGCCCGAAACTGCATGTTCCGGGCGTCTGGCAATAGGGATTCCCTCCATAAGACGCACACACATTTCCCCCCGTCTTTGGGGGGGGGGGGGGAGTTCGTCTTATGGAGCGAAAAAATACGGTACTTTAAGGTCCATTCACAGCTTTAAGTTTTTTTTCATTTTGTTTCATGCCTGTTTGATGCATTTATCCTTTTGAAAAATGCCCTTGCTGGAAACCACATGAAAAATTCAACTATAACTAGCAGGAATAGTTAAAAATCACACCATACTAAATGCACGGATGTACATTTTATTTGTGCTGGTGTAAAAAAGAGGGAAATGCCTACATGTGGCCTTTCTTTTGATTTATGAAAGTGTTTCTCTGGTCAAAATGTTTTATAGGGGGGAATTGGGTAGGTTTTTATTGCGTCCCTGCTAAGGAAAAAATGCACCTTCTCTATTTGTCTTGGTGACCACTGTATCCGTACCAAAAGTGATATGAAATTGAAAATGTTTTGGATGTCACCAGAACAAGGTTGAGAAATAAATATTCCAATGGGGAAACCTGTTGTGACAACATCTGTCTAATACTGAATATCTAGTGAAAGATGTTCAGTATTAGACAGATGTTGCCACAAGGCATTTCCACCCTCATTTCCTGTCTTGAGGACAGGAAATGAGGGTAAGTCTCCCAAATGGAAAAGAGAGGGAAAATAAAACAATCCAACAGAGGTTATGAGCATTCCTTACAAAATTTTCAAAAATTATATATTTTTTATATTAGGCATATAGACCCTGAGGTAATAGAATCTGAAAACCATTTTATTTGTTAACATACACATACCACTAAGCCAAAGTAAACTCCAGTTCCTTGTTGCAATGGTTCCAGCCATGCTTATAAAAAGCTGCAATTCTCCACTCCTGACTCCGACACCGCCCCCACACTAACTACTGTCCTCCACTAGATATCACCAGTGTTTCAGTTTGAATGACGCCCAGCATCATTCAACGCACTACCTTTGAGTGAGGAGTGTCACCATGGCACCTTGTACTCAGTACAATAATGCAGAGAACTGAATTCATCATGTCAGCAACACTCTACAATGAGGACAACAGGAAGAGGACCCTACACCATCTGACAGGCCTAAAGACATATGAAAAAGGTAAGTATTAAAAAAAATATTGAACAAAATGCGTTGGAGCATCTAGAGATAAGGGAGTTGACCTTTAAAGTCTTACATGACCCAAAACAAAAATGTGATACAGTGAAGAATGTACAAGGGGTTGTCCATGATGACATTTACCAAATAAATATTTCATTAACATTATTTTAACATTACATTAAAATGTCAACATTACATTGAAAAAACATCATTGGTTATTGATTAACTCCTGTTATGTGATGAAAACGTCATATGAGCTTACATAGGCATACATTTAAGCAGACCGTGTTCTTGAAAATTCAAATGTATCTACTCCAGAAACTGCTTTCTTTGTTAGCAAGCAAACCATCACCTGAGTTCCCAGGTTCATTGAAACAAAGTGACATTTTACAATGACGTGTTCTTACGTGTTCTTATTCTGAAATAAATCATTCCCCAATAAAAAGAGCTTACTCATGAAAATGAAATAGATAATCTGATAAATGTCATAGACAGATGATTTATCCTTGTCACACTGTCAGTGTGTTGGAATGATAGGGCAAGTTGGTCAGGCCAATCATTCAGGTCACAGTGCTTTGTTAGAAGTACATATTTAAAGTGAAAATATTTTGGTCATGGAGAGGTGAATAGACATTTAGTGAATTCAAATGTAAATTAAATTGCAGCTGATGGGCACTGTACTGCACAGCACTGATGGGCAAAGGTCCCTACTCAGCTTTAGTATTTTAATACTGAATTTTTAAATCGTAGGGCTATTTGTGGGTTGATAAAAATTTGGAGTCCTGTTATTGACAATGGTTTCAGGGCTATTTGTTTTGCCATAAATCTTTTTTACCATGACCATTTATCCTTCACGTTTTAGATCATTGTTTAGAAGCTCCTCTACCACCGACTCGAAGAGCACCAAATGATGTCAAAATAAATAGACTTTCCCAAGAATATGATCACCTACCGGCATGCTCAGGTATTTGCTTTTATTTTATTACAATAATGTCAATGTCAATTAAGGGTTTCATTCCAATATTAATTTTTTATATTTATATAAATGTATAGTAATTTTAACTGTCATTGAATTGGAATGTATTACTAACCATAGAAATACCTCTGAACATTAGGAAGTGGGTGGCATATCCTAAACAAGAATGACTGCCTATAGTTGCTACAGCAACACTTCAAAAGCGCACAAGGAAGAATGTGTGCTTTGCCATGTCTTGACCATACTTTTTTTGCATAGTGCTTTCTTGTTTCCTAGTTCTGTATTGAGTACGCTTTTGTTTTACTGCTCACATGAATGAGGCTGTTGCCATTTTCAATAATGAGCTCGCACATCTCCATATGACAAACTGTGGAATTTTTGCTCTGTATTAAAATGTATTGTAGATTGTTTGTTTCCCATTTCTTAATCTTGCAGAGACAGAGTAATTACTTGCAGAAAGATATTAAACAAAAGAACATAGTGAAAACAGGCCTGTTATTAGAGATCAATACAGAAAAATTTTTCACTGGTTGCTTTGGCAACATTACAAAAAAATAAGATTAAGATGTCTTGAAGTCCTTCCACATGCATTTAAAGAGAAGCTATAGTAAAAAGAGAGCACCATTATTTAAATATTAAGCCTGCACGATAACCTTGCCATTTGTTGTAATTACAGTAGTTCTCTGAGGCCTGAATACAGTACCATTCTCAAGGTATTGGTTGCAAAGTCTTTGCCAGCGTGTAAGATTTTGGGGCAATTTTCAGAGAGAGCAGATGCCTGTGCCTAAATGGTTTCCTGACATCTGTCTCCCAAGATGCAAGGTATGGTCCCTTGACCAGACACTATATTATTGAAAGGATTACATTTGTAGATTTCTAGTTCTTTTATGACATTTTACTTATGCAGACTGGATCTTAAACCTTTTTTTTTATCATGTCATTTGACAATTTGCAGTTAAATAGATCATATTGTAGATTACCATTATAGCCTGAAGGTGGCAGTGTTAATTATTCATCAGTAGTCAACAGATAAATCATCTGTAGTGACCTGAACTGTCACTGACACTTGGGGTTAGGAACCACGAGATGTACAAAGTGTTTATGCATGGATTTGCAGTAAAAGAACATATAATATCCGTGTGCAATTTATATCAGCAACAAGGTTGATTTACCGAAGGAACAGAGGCACAGTTTTACACCCTATTTACTAAGCTATAGCAAAATGAAAATTTACTTTGTGGTGTGATAAGACTGTAATACTTTAGTAAATCATCCTTTTATCAGAATTTTTTAAACCTCTTGTGAAATTTATATTACTGGCAGTTTATATAAAAACATAAAGCTTTGTAAGTGATGCAACAGTATTTAACCTAGCTGTCAAGAGTAATGACGTTTCCGTGAATGTGAATAGTAGTAGAGGTCCATGTCCAGAGGTCTCATTAGTTTAGGACTGTATTTATAGGTCTTATTAGTAGAGGAGGACTATTGTCATAGGTCTCATTAGTAGAAAACTGTGCCCATGGGTCTGATTAGTAGAGGACCATGCTCATAGGTATCATTAATATTCGTAGAATACCGTGTTCATAGATATCATTAGTGGAGGACCATGTTGAGTATTAGTAGAGAACCATGTTCATAGGTATAATTAGTAGTATCATTAGTATAGGACCGTGTTTGTACGTATTATTAGTAGAGAACTATGTTCAAGGGAATTTTAATTCTCTGGCATTTCAAGCAGCCTCCAATATATCAATATTAAAGTTAGCTCTGCTGGAAGTGACATGGTTATAAGTAGCTTGTGTATTTAACAGCAGTGCACTGGTACAACATAAAGGTGCAGACACTCCTTTGACAATGTGTATGTATAGGGTTGAGCGCATTAGATGCAGGAGGTGTGTTTGGGCCTACCACTTAAATGAATTGCAATGCAATCTCTTCGACTGCTAATGCACAGTAGCTGCATTCCAATTAATGCACAGACCCGCTGTAAAAAGGCCCTAAATTCAGTAATGTTCACTATAATTCCCCCCTTCCTAGTAGCACATACCTTTTTTCTTTCTATTCCTCCTCTCTGTTCGGCTGCTGGGAGCCAGATAAGCCACCCTGTGTAAGTTAAGAGTTAAGAGTCCCTGAGGTCATATGTTAGAGGGCTATGGAATTTCCCCATGTGACAGGCTTGGTGATTGGTAATTGGCTTAGCACAGTCACATGCTCTTCATGGTGTGGCGATTATAAAGTGAAGAAAAGGTGGGTGTGCTGCTCCTTAGGGGTGGATTAAACTAGATCTTTTGCTTTGTGCTGCATGTACAAAGAACAGGTTTTCTTTAAAAGATCAAACCAATATTATGCATTATAATATATGTATATATTTTTAAATGAGAGCTTTTATTATTTTGCAGAATACGTTTTTTTTTTAATGTTCGAGTAAGTGGTGGTATATGATAATTCAGCACATGCGACATGTAAAATATGCTCCTGTATAAAGTGATAGAAAGGTACAAGAGCTCGTTAGACACTTTCTATTTATGTGAAAGTACTCATTTTCAGTTTACTGCAATATATTGATTTACTCTACTTTTCAGATGTCATGTACTTTTTCCAAAGTATATGTAAGAAATCTGTTACATGTGATAGGTTGTTAATGAACCAAAAGCCCAGTACAGTCTAGATGATATACAGAAAGAATGAATACAAGTGACTGGCACTGTCTTTCAGATTACTTTGCACGTGTATTTACAAACACAACAAAAGAGGCATATAGCCTGGTGGGGGCTTTTAGGGCTAGTTCACACCAACCTCAGAGCAGGTGCAGAGCGGATCAAAACTGCGTCCAATGTATTATTATGGTATTTTTAGCTCCAGTTCACATCGCAGCGTGCAGGTCCAGAGCAGGTAAAAAAACTGCAGCAGGCCCTATTTTACCTGCTCTGGATCTGCAAATGCATCAAAAACGCATGCAAATGCCTGGAATGCACTGAAAGCCCATGTTAAACTAATTTGTCAAAAACGCATCTAAAAGACTAGCGTGCGTGTGCAGAAACCTGACCGGATCTGCTCTGCATTTGGTGTGAACAAGGCCTTAGGGTATGCAAAGAAGGCCTTCACTTAAAAACAAAATAAACTTTATTAATAACAATTAAAATACTGTAGCCAAAAACATCACAAAGTCAGCCATGAAATACATATGGCATATATAAGCTACAATATTTGAGTACTGATTCCACAATGACTTAAATGTAGTTTGAGTCCCACAATGTAGTGATGAGATGGCACTTAAGTAGTAGTCTGGACGCAGGGGGCTGCAGGAGGGGCAACCACCGCACAAGGAACGTTCCAGTAGAAGCACGTCCTATGCTGACATGTCATAGACTCCCACCTCTCCCTTGGACGTGCTTAGCAACCGCCATTTCCACGTTTATTTAGAACAAGAACACACTTGATTAAGGCACTTTTTAAAAATAAGTATAATGAGGAAAACTCTTTGGGAAAGAGTTGCTCACTGGAAAATTGTGTCCATAGATATAAATATGGTTTTGTCAGTGAACAATGCAGTTTAAATATTTCTCAACTGCAGTGCCATTTTAATAAAGTATTTTTCAAGTATGTATTTAACCAGGAAAAGAAATCCATAATGCTTACATCGGGTTTTTTTCTAGTGTATTGACTTGACTTCAGTGCATACTGTAATCATTGCTGCAGAAATGTTCGATTATGAAAGTTTAAAAGGAAACTGGCTGATAGCTGTGGAAAAAAAACAATATTGCTTTATTGCAGAAAAATAATAATTTTGTCTCCTTCAATTCTTCCTTACACGTATATCTTTGGATTATACAATTATATATATTAAGAGATTGCTTTGAATCCTCTCACAATCATCATTCTAAATAGTTTGTAGTGAAGCCAGCAATTGTCCTTGAATGGCGATGACTAAAATCAATGATATTTTCTAGTGCGTTTTGCATTTACCATTGTGAAAAGTATATTGCAACAAAATCACTAGAAAAGACTATTCACCTTCATGAGAGATGGTTTGAGAAGGCCGGTTTTCTGTGCTGACTGATGAATATATGCCAGCCAAGTGTAAACATTTATTTTCATTTTGTTTCGTTGGATAAGCATCTAGTTTTTTAGGTACTAATGTAGAGATTAGTCTATTAATAATAAAAGACAGATACAAATACTTTTCACGTAGTGATTGTACTAGTTTTAATTTGTTCAGGTTTTTGCCCTTTATTTTTACCTGGTGCTTCAATTACTAACACATTTCCTGACCTAGGGTGACGACACTTACTCACTATACTGTATCTATGGAGGAGAAACATTCACCTCTTGTCACCCTAGGACAAGAGGTGTGTTTGGCCTACAGATCACCTTCCCCTCTCCTCATCTCTATAAATAGAGGTGTTCTATTGTCCTAAAACACTTCCTGATAACACTGCAAGGACACAGGGCAGCACTGGATTTCTGTCAGGATCTACACTTTTAATGCTGCGTTCAAACAGACTAAAAGGGTGTTCATTGTTAGCGTTTACATAGAATTTGAAGTACCTATGGGTTGTATAAATGTAGGTAAAATACAGACGTTCTATGTATGTATTGGACATTTTATGTTTCGTCCGCTCCAAAATATGGCTGCATTTTATCTATATTTCCAAAAATTCCAAATTTACAGGTCTCTTTTAACCCCTTCATGACTGAGGGGTGATGACAAAGTTTTTTTTCCCCGCTGCGTTCCGTTGCATTTGTTGACGCATTTGTGCGCGTTCCGGTGCGTTTCAGACCTGACAATGTGACACGCAGTATTTTTCTGGTCTGGTCTGGAACTGACTGCGATGGTGTGAACTGAGGCCAAGAAGAGCACAGGGAAACATTAGGATACATTTTAGGTCCAGAAACAATCTGGTCTGGAGATGATCTGGAGGTGGTGTGAATGGGCCCTTAAGGTGGAAAACAACTATTAGGGTCTTGTACAGAAACTTTTATCAATGCATTATGCCATTATAATGCACTATATACTTAGTCTGTTTATGTATTCTTCCTGATGAGATGGTATTCTTATTTTTGAATGCTTTTATTGCAGTAATACATTCACATTCTTTTTTTTTTCTTTAGATCTGCCTATGACCTACTAAATATTTATATTTTATGTATAGTTTTTAATTTATAAATACATGTATTACAGCCATATTTCTTATTGTGCGTGATTTGCTTACTGCTTAATAGTGCAGCACAGTGATTGTGTACCCCAAGCTCATTGTAAACTATTGACAATAGTGAGCAAGCACTGTATGTCAAAAATTAGTTCCTCAAAAACATTTAAGTTAAAAGCATTACTATAAACCTTTCATTTTAAATGGATTTTAATTTGTGTAACTATGTATATATGTGTGTATAAATGTTTTTTTTTGTTTTTTTTTCAGAATGTCCACAGGCACCAGCCAGACCACCCAAACCACTTCCTCGCAGAACAGGACCTGAGATTCATCACAGACGACCTTATAGTGCTGACTGTTCAGAGAATGTAGACGCAAAAATAGCTAAATTAATGGGCGAGGGATTCTCCTTCGAAGAAGTTAAAAGGGCTCTGGAAATTGCCCAGAATAATGTAGATGTGGCACAGAGCATACTGAGAGAATTTGCGTGCTGCCCTCCTCCTGTTTGCCCACGTTTAAACCTATAACAAAATGACCTGTCTTTTAGGACCATAGACGTAAAAAAGAATGAATTTAATTTATCACCTTAATTTAAAGACTATCATTCCAGCATTTTGTCAGATGTTTTATGGTCTGAATACTTGCTTACTTAGATATCAAAAATTAAAGGGAAATTGGTAATTGTTTATTTTACAATTTTGCCATATACAGATGTGACATATATGGCCATGTTTTCCCTTTCATAAGTAAGCCTGTGAATTATTTTGTTTTTTCCTTGGTTAAAGCTGGTAAGTTTCTTTTTTTTGTTTGCCTGTTATAATTATTTTTCTAGTTTTACATTCTATTATGTTTTTTTAAATTTTGAAGTTTTATGTTGTAGAAGTTCACCAGCACTTTCTGACCTCATTGCATTCTGGAAAATGCTTTTCTTTTTTTTTATATGGCATTTTAATTTATCCAAAATATACTGCAAACAGTGGCCTTTACTACTGACATTGTGAGGTTATTTTGTATTATGGGGAAAAGTATTTGAATGTACAATAAATGCATTTTTGTGGATGATTTGCCTTTACAGAAGTATTTTGATACTGTTGTTAGCAGAATAGTATAACTTTGAATGTGCTGACTTTATATCTTCTGTGATCTTAGAAGAAAGTGCATAAAAGAAAAAGGCTTACAATAAAGAAGGATCATTTTTTTCTGTGTAATGTGATGTTTGGGGAAAAATAAACATCAAAGCACAGAACAGTTTAAATTAATGTGATCTCTATCGAGGTTTTGACGCTGGAGCATTAGGATTATAGATCAGTGACATCTGTACATTTCAAATATAGCACTTGCATTTCTCTTGACTTTCTGACTGCAGAGGGTATGTATGAAACACATCAGTCATCAGTGTGACCTGTATGTGTAGTTGGAGATGAACTTTGAGTAAACCTTACCAATGGCAAAAATAGATTTTGGTTACAGCAAACATTCATTTCTTCCAGTAGTAAAACATATTTTTATAGGGAATGTACATGTTTTTCTGTGAAATGTTATTTTCCATATATTTTATGCTGCTACTTTAAACCTGGTTTAAGAGGTTTATTTTTATATGTCAAGAAAACGTTTAAAAGCCGTGCTATGTGAACAAGTAAAACTGATTGCGATACATCACCACTGAAAATTCTAATACAAATAGGGAGGTTATTTAAAAGCTTTGAGTGTGTTTTCCCAACAACAACGTATTAAGATTACCCTAATGGGGTGTTTTGTTTTTTTTTTGGTTTGCACTCAGTGTGTGACTTTCAGATTACTTAAGATGAATGCAGCAAAGAAGCCATTCTCTGCTGTCAGGATATTTTTCTTCAAGTATCATATTCAGTTAAAAAGTACAATACAATTAACAATCGCAGTTTGTCTCGTGAGCAACATGGTCACTGCTTCCATCCGAAGAGCACACAGTTTTCCAAAGTATTTCAGACCACTTGTGACATTCTGATCAGTATGGAACACAAATATTTGGGAAAGATGCTGGAGACCAGCCTCATAATTAAATAAAATATTTTAAAAGCTGACACTCATCTGGTCGGTGGGTATAAATCCAGTTCAGTCACAATTGCTTTTCTAGTATGTTTGGTGTGTAATTACAAATTAGAGGGTGACATAGCAAAATATTAATGTATCTAGCCAGCTGAAAACAGATGTTAGTAACAACCCTGTTAGCACTGGTGACCAGCAACGTCTTCTTCACCCTAACTCCATAAAAATAGCCCTGCCTACACTTGTGGGTATTGACTAATGTCCTTTCATGTCTTTTATTTAATAAAATGCCTCATATACACCAGTTTTCATGCACCCTTAAAGTGACACTTAACTCAGGAGTTAACTCTTAAAAATGCAATCAAGCACCTTTTAACTATTAACAAAACTGTAGCTTATTTGTGTATTACTCTGCTGTACATCCTCAAATCATTTTTGAATTTGTGCTGACACTGTCCTTGGCCTTCAAAACTCTACTATCTTCTGAAAAGTGCTTTGTGGGGATAGAAGGATTCCATGTCCACCTCCCTTTTTTATCCATTGAGTCTGGGTGACTAAGTCTAGTGGAGGCCATCATGGGAGAGAAAATCAGATGAGGCGGAGTAAGATTCCTGAAGCTAAGTTACTCTGAGGATTGTTGTGATTTATGACCCTCCTGGACTGGTATCTTGCTTTCTTGATGACTTCTTTGCCTGGCTACCCTTTCTCTCCTCTGAAATACCCACTATCATTCTTGGTAACTTTAACATTGCTGTTAATGCTATCACCTCACCTACCACTCAACATCTCAACCTAACCTCTTTTTGACTTAACAAAATGGGCTCACACTACTCACTCTGATGGCAAAATACTTGACCTTGTGTTCTTTCACCTCTGCACTCCCCTTTCCCTCTCTCTGACCACAACCATGTCAGTTTCACGCCCTGTCCTCAACTGCTAATTCCCCCAACCAACAAATTGTTACTTGGAGAAACCTTTGCCACTTCAGCTCTTCTTTTCTCTGCTACTGACGGAACCGGAACTGAGCTGCACGAGCGACTGAGGCATGTGGATGTGCAGAAGCTCCCGTTCGGGACTGAGGGAGATTGACAAGGTGACGCTGGGGAGAACTGTCAGAAATCTTGGCTTGTAGTGTGTGTGCTGCTAAGCTGACAGGAAAGGAGAGTGATCAGTGCAGTTTCTCAGCTGAGAGTGGAGTGAGCTGATTGGGGAGAAGCTGACATCGGTCATGTGAGAAGCTGATAGTGTGTCTGGGCATCTGTGTTTACTCAGAAGCTCGAGAGCCGTCTGACAATACTGAGAAGCATTAATAACATGGAGAAGAATCTGGACCTTAAAGGAGAACTATGGGGTCAGTGTTTTTCCCCATAGTTCTCCTTAGGGTAACGGGAGGACACAAACTAGCGTCCTCCCGTTACCCTAAGCTCAGTACACCACGAGCAACAGCTCGCGGTATACTGAGACGCCGCAGCCAGGTTAATCAATACATCAGGGAAAAGGCTAAGACCTTCAAAACAAATGTCAGATATAGGTCACCATCAGCATTCAAACACTACAAGGAATGCAACAAGAAATGTAAAAAAGCAATCGGCTGCAAAAATAGAATATGGAGAATACAGCAACAGAGAACAAAAGGAACCACAAAAAATTATTTAAACATAAATAGTAAGAGGGAAAGGACGGAACATATAGGCCATATCAGATGAAAACAGGAATCTGCCTACCAGTGACAGGGAGAAAGCTAATGTGTTACATTGAAAGATGACATTGAATAATGAAATGAACTGAATATTCAGATCATACCATTGCTAACTAAGGCTTGTATCCCCCTAGTGGGGAAAATAGATGAGCACATGCCCAGACTCCAGACCAGAACACTGTATAGTGTGGCACAGCTATATCCAATTCTGCATACCTGCCTTTATTTAAAAAAAATGTAATACTATAAAGCCAGTAATACAGAATTTGATATAGCTTTGCCACACTATACAGTGTTCTGTATTCTGGACATGTGCTCATCTATTTTCCCCACTATGGGATACAAGCTGCAATATTCAGTTCATTTCATTATTCAATGTCTTTTTTTATATTATAAAATTTATAATATAAAAAAAAGACAAAGTTTTTATAATATAAAGCCAGGTATGCAGAATTGGATATAGCTGTGCCACACTATACAGTGTTCTGGTCTGTAGTCTGGACATGTGCTCATCTATTTTCCCCACTATATGGATACAAGCCCTAGTTAGCAATGGCATGATAAATATTCGTTTCATGTTCTTCATAATATTAAGAAACTGACCTAAAATAATTTTGTATTGCTTTAGAAAAAATTGACCTGTCCCTTTAAGAAAAAGTATCGGCGAGTACTTGAAAAAAAAAGTATCGGTACTCGGTCTTAAAGTGGTATCAGAGCATCCCTAATGCAGAGGATGTTTGGCTGACCGAAGGCTCACTTCACTTCGGTTCAGTTATTCACTCGGCTGCCTCCGGCAGTGAATATCCCACTTAGGGGTCTATTCACGAAGCTGCCGAAGGATCTGGCCGTAGCTTCGGCTAGCTTCGACCCCAGGACCCCTTCAGTTCAGTAGAACCGAAGGGGTGCTGTACGGGCTATTCACAATAGCCCGTACAGCTCCCGATAATGGCCGAGCGGCTCAGTCGAGCCGAACGCATATGCATCGGCTCGGCTGAGCCGTGCTGAAAGCCGAAGCTGGCCGGCCGTTAGCCTTCTTCTGACAGCTGGGCGGAGCCAGCCGTGATCTTACGGCTGGCTCCGGCCACTTGCAGAGAGATCAGCGTCCCTGGTTACCTGCTAACCAGGGACACTGATCTCCAAAAGGCTAACTCTCCCTGGCGCCCCGGGAGTCTCCTGCTCCCTGACGCCAAGGAGAGAAACAGTGCTGTGTCTTTTTTTTCTTTATTCTGACACGAGCGATGTCAGAATAGAAAAAAAAAATGTTCCCATTGAAAAGCATTGGTACATTACTATTGCAATAGCCAATAGTAAACTAGCATTGTACCCGCCCTCTGCTGCAGTTCTCCATCAGGTCCATCAGCAGAGGGCGGGTACAATGCTAGTTTACTATTGGCTATTGCAAATTGAAATAGCCAATAGTAATGTACCAATGCTTTTCAATGGGGAAATTTCTTCTTTCTTTTTTTCTATTCTGACATTGCTCGTGTCAGAAAGAAAAAAAAAAAGACACGGCAATGTTTCTCTCCTGGGCGGCCAGGAGCGGGAGGCTCCCAGAGCGCCCGGGAGAGTTTTTTTTTCCTTTTTTTAAAGCCGATGTATCGCTGATTTCAGCCGATATACAGCTGAAATCAGCCGTACCAGCCTGAAGTGAATAGCCGAACAGTGTTCGGCTCACTTCACTTCAGGTCGGTCATTCACTCGGCTGCCTACGGCAGCTTAGTGAATAGACCCCTTAGTGTTGGTATGGTACTTTCTATGGCTACCCCTTGTCTAAATGGATGCAAAAACTGCACATTTTCTTATTACAAAACTAAAATGTATTAACTGGTAAGGATGAAAGCTGACACTTTCATGCAGAAAGTTTAAAAAAGG